TTCCGTCTCATGCTTGAGGTATTCGGCCAATCACAACACACTGGATAGCTGGCCAATCAGAGCACACCTCGCTTTTCAGACCGATGAGCTTTGTAAAAATCAACGCGTTTCAGAAAGGCGGGGCATAGAGGAGAAGCAATAATGTACAGTATGTGGAAAATAATGTGTTTTTTGAACCTTAAACCGCATAAACACATTTCATTACACCAAATACACAAAATAATGTTCTTTTTAGCAACATCATATGACCCCTTTAAAGGGATCGTTCAACCCAAACATGTACATTTTGTGATAATTTCCTCACCCTCAAGTTGTTCCAAACCTGAATGAGTTTCTTTCTTCTGTTATGCATAAAATAAGATATTTTGAAGAATGTGGTTAACCAAAGAGTTTCTGGTTCACATTGACTTCCATAGTATGGAGAAAAAAAAATAATATAGAAGTCAATGGGGACCAGAAATATCTTCTTTCTCATTCAATAAATGTGCCAAAATAGTTTGGTCGGACATCAACTACAAAAATGTTGTATCTATGCAGTTCAAGGTCAGAACATTTTGTTCACCTTTGTACGATAAACAATTTTGATGGCCGCCACATGATGTCTGGCGTGAAATCTGAAGCAATGCTTGCTGAGACTGAGAAGTGCTGGCCTAGAGTGTGCAGTGCATGTGTGCTGCTCTTATAGTGTGCTTCTCTCACAGGGATGATAGCGTGCTGCATCAGTTCTGCTGTCCTCCGTCTGGAAGCAGCAGTCCTTCAAGATAGCAGGAACGAAAAGGATCTGTCCTCTCTCACAAAGCGTTCTTCCAAAAGAGCTACATGCGTCCATCCATGCATCTGTGTGTCTCTGGGGGAATAAACATCACTGTGTGTGCCGTTGCACTCACATGCAGGACAGACGGAAATCTTTCTGCAGTAGTTCATTTACAAGTGCAGTCTATAAGCGCTGGAAGAACACAACTGTAGCGCTAGAACTCATGAATACAGTCGAGTGTTGAACCTCAAACGTGTACCTCTAATACAAAGATGCAGAACTGAGTGTATTTTGCACAGTGTGGAAGAGAACTTCATTCAGTACTCCGAGTGATGCATGAAATTAAAAAGCAATATCTATTTAAGAATCGATGACTGTATTACAGCTATATTTGCTTTGCCTGATATTTTGACCATGTAACAAGATTCAAATTAAAAGTTTCTTCTTGTATATGATTATTATTTTTGTATTTATTATTGTTATTTTTTTTGGCACTCAATATCTGTGTTTTTCTTTCATTTGTGCATAATATTTTAGTTATTCTTGAGTGAATAATAAGGACTGTGTTCAGATTGCATACTAACTTGTTGCATTATACTAAGTAAGTGCTGTATACTGCTTATGTTTTTTTTTTTTAATGTGAAACTTTATGCAATATGTATGTCTTAAACATTAGTATGCTGCATGGTTGCCACATGACCTCATCTCATCATATATTTATGTTGCTTTTCTTTTTTTCTTGAACAAGTTAATGGCTGATATTACTTCCTGTTCATTTGTCACACTGTAAATGAAAGGTGATGGCTGGGAATAGCAATATGGCAGATGTTGTACTGTAAGTCAAGTTTATGTATATAGAGCTTTTCACAATACACATTTCAGAGCAGCTTTACAGAAAATCATGATGTTGATGTTAATGTTTAACATCTTATTCTTACTATCTTCCTTTATAGTCACATTTAGCAGATTAGAGCTGGTCGATAATTTAGTTTACATTTTGAGACGATACAAACAATTGAGCAGCTGACATTTGCTACAGTGTATAGTAAATATCATCCTACATGAGTACACTGTAGCATAAAGAGACATAGTTATATAGCCAATTTTATATAAAGAGCTGGCTGATAATATAGTTACATTTTGTGATGAAATAAAAATAAATAAATAGTAAATAAAGTGCCAACATTCAGGATGCTGAGATTGTATTCATACTACATGCATACAGGATTGGCGGGTTTAGAATGACCCACGGTTTACTGTTGCATGTGTGAAAAGCCCTTGTCCTGCCTCTAGTGGACGACACAGACCATTACATCAAGATGTTGGCTCAATCCCAGTTCACATGCTTTTCTAAGTATGAAAAGTGTGTTATGTGCTGATGTATATTTGAAAATTCTCCAGCAGCGGCATGCTGTCCAAGAACCTTTTGTGTACTGTTTTCAGTATCCTATGATATGATCTTCTGACCTAAATGAATGAACATAGTGTGATATTGATCAGGATATCACATTTGGTGGGAAGCAGGAGTTGTACTCTGTCCAGCAGGTTGAAATTTGAAGCTCGAGCTGCAGTTTAGTCAGTAGTAGGCAGTGGCCTGAAGCACGATAATGTCCTTCTTGTTAGCAGGTCCCTGTGCTGGCGCGAGTTTCCTCACAGTCCAAAAGACATGCTGCAGCGGTGAATCGGACACGATACATTGCCCACAGGTGTGAGTGAGTGAGTGTGTGTCTGTGTGTGCGCCCTGTGACGCTGGGACAGACTCCAGCATTCTCACTGATATACAGAGGACAAGTGATGCTGCTGATGGTCCAGTTCACACCTTCAGTGAAGCAGTTCATGATAAACACTAGTGTTACTTCCATCATTTTACAACTGATGAAGACACTTGGATAAGTGCTGGACTTATCTCAAGAAACACAAGCTCATGCAAATTTCACAGCATTCCAAAGTTTGTGACCAATAGAAGATTGCTAAATTACGGTGTGACCTCTTAGTTGAATTAAAAGAACGCAAAATATAAACCTGAATGATTGCAGTGTTGCAGTAAAGAGCAGAAGAATGCATGTTTTTACACGTTGGATGTATTATATGTTGAATTACACAGTATGACGTCATTATTTCGACCGATGCAGTGTTGTTAGAAATTTTGCATTCTCAAGTCTAGTGACATTTTAGTAGAAACAAGAGTGTTTTATTTTAAATGATATTGAATGTAATGCATAAGCAGTGTATTTATGGTAATATTGGACTAATGTGGTCATGTTTTCTGGCCCTTGTTAGAATTCTGACTGCTGTGTTTTGAACAAACCGCAGCTATTATTGGAAACAGCCAAAAAAAAAAAAAAAAAACAAAAAGTGCTTTAGCCT